TTCTGTGATGGAAATGGCTCTCTCGACTCACATTCATACATTATTAATGCTCTGCAGTAAGCATTATAGACATTTAAAGAAGAACAAGAGGAGAGAATTCATTGCAAGTTTAATGCGATTCTCGAAAGACGTTTCATAAATTAGAATGGAAACTTTTTCGTATTGAATGAAAAATCCAGCAAGAAATTGTTTTATTTTGCAAATTTTCTTATGCCATGGAAAAAATTATTCATACAATATTGTTTGCCATACTAAGTTGATTCTGTTTCAAATTGTTTTGTTTCTATAATTTTTGTTCATTAGTTTTATGATGATTTTTAGTTTCCATACTAAATTGTTGCATGGTGGAGTTGCGATAATCTTTAAATCGATTAGCTATTCCGATGGTATTTGCTGATTTTCTTTGTTAAGGTTTCTAAGGTGTTGCTGATTTGATTATAAGTTGAGCTAGGGTCGTTGGCAAATGGTGTTTGTAGAGGACTTCAATCTTAGTGGTAACATAAGTGTCAAAATGTCACTAGTCAGACTAGTCGCAACATTACTTACAATAGTCGAGATAGATCTGGTATCTGAGTGCTTAGGATACTGGGGGTCCTCGATTTGAGTAGGTGTTTTGTTCCAAAAAAAAATCTATTCAAATCGAATCTGCACAAATCGAGGACCCATAGTATTAACTTTTATCCTAAATTGAATGAGTTTAGAACAGTATTTTACTGTCTTACACATAATGTAGAATTCACTGGTCTAGAATAACAACTAGTTGAGGCATTGTTGGTCAATATGGTTCCTAATTAAATGCCTAGTTGCAACACTAGTCTTGGAATTAGGTGATAAACGATAGGCACATAAATATAGAACGCTTGGAAAGCTTATCTTTTTGAGCTCTAGGCACTGCGATTCACATAGTTTAGCATCAATCACTGCTTATAGTTGCATCTATAATGCTAAATTGGTGTCAATTCTGCCTGTGGCTTACATTGGCTGGATGCAAGGTTAACTTCAAATTCAAATGATTCGAATGAGAACAAATAAATCTACCAGGATTCGAACCCTGATCTCTCTTCGAGTGTTGCATTAATTAAACAAACCAATTCAATTCTTGATGTCAAATTCTACATTATCTCAATTTAACATGTATGAGGTGTTTATTGCCATCATTTATAAATATCAGAGATCGAAGCCGATTTTTTCGGCTTAACTCAACTTTTGATTTTTTTGATAGAAAAAAGCCATTTCACACCCATTTCAAGTATTTAAATTGAACTTTACATGCTTTACTATGATTCTGTGTAATATTTTTTCAGCATGTAGCTATAGTAAGCTCAGAATTTCAAGTTAAACGATTTTAAGCCGAAATTTAAGCCGATCGGCTTATCATCGACTAAATTGAAATTCTGAGCTTACTATAGCTACATGCTGACAAAATATTACACAGAATCATAGTAAAGCATGTAAAGTTCAATTTAAATACTTGAAATGGGTGTCAAATGGCTTTTTTCTATCAAAAAAATCAAAAATTGAGTTAAGCCGAAAAAATCGGCTTCGATCTCTGATAAATATCCTCAACATTAAAGTCGCTCTAATTTACATAACTCCTGACCCAATTAGATAACAACATTCATAAACATTTCAAATCATTTATTTAATACCAAATAATTTCTACAATTTTGCACTATTTAAACATGACTAAATTTGACACAAATTTCGTTCGTTCTGCATGAACAGCATCGACAAAACTAGCTACAGCAACAAACTATTTATTTACAAAATAAATGAAAAAAAAAGCTAGTCACACGAAAAATTGGCTACATTTTATTTCACCGAAATCAGCATGAAAAATAAAAATAATTAAAATTCATTTGGCAGTTGTAATAAAAATAAGGATGCAAGATTGTTATAAAAACTAGCAGAACTGCAACACTTTTTGCAAGCTGCACATAAAATCCAACTTAATTGAATCAAAACTAAATGCAATTAATGTTAATGCAACAGCAATAACGTGCATTTAATTTACAGAATTTGTTTGCGCTTGCAACTGCAAACATATACAGCATCAAGTGCCACACACTGCATTGTCGTGTTTAACATACGCTTGTTGTTCACAAAAAATAAAAATTGAGTTAATTTCGTATGCAATGGCAATCAATTGGAAAATGTTGCTCGAATGTGCATTCGATTGCGAAATGAGTGCAACATTGTGACGATGCAGAAATTGCTTAATATGCAGAACAGAAGTAAAATACCCCACGCACATACACACGCATAATAATAATTGAATCAAATTGTCAATGCAAATTGCTGTGGGTTTACTTTGTGCTGCATTTATTCGTATGATGGACAATATTTTTTTTTTTTCAAGGTTCTCTACATTCTGAATTATTTAAGGGCATATGACTGGGAATTCTAACAGATTGCATGTGGATGTTAATTTGTAGTTTTATATTAGATCGATTTCAAAATTGTCGTTTTTAGAAGATATTAAAATTGATAGCCAGCAACAAATATGGAAAGGATTAAAAGTAGTCAATGTAGACTTGTGGATTAGAAGACAATTTTGTAACAAATTATTAAGTACGAGTTGGTGTTGCAAAATTTATATTATAAATTAAATGTAATGGCAGCTTGTGGTGTGTTAAAATATATGAAGTAATAAAATGCTACCAAGATTTTTCGTTATCTATTCTAGAAGCATGTAGCTTGTCATTAAGTAAATCGATTGGCATAAATAAAGTAAAATGCGAGAGTTGTTTTGTAATTTATAATTTATTGTGGAGCTTTCGTAAATGAGCAGTATACTTAGTTGCAAGGCTGGAAAGTAAGTCATATGTAATTTTTTAAACAGAGATTTATATTGATTAGGAGTGTTTAGGATATTATAATGTTGAAGAAGCTTCGGCTTCTTTCAGGACATTTTAAAATATGTTTTGAGTAGCTTTTAAATCATAATATTTCATTCATATTTAAGCTGTAGAAAAGTAGCAATGGCGAAGTGGTTAGAGTGTTGACCAACCAACCATAACGACCCTAGTTCGATCCCAGAAAATGTCTAGTTGAAAAAGGTTGCTTTTTCACTGTTCTGGTCATGGCAACTCGGTTTGTGAGATTCGCGATGTGCGAATTGTAGCTAAGTCTCTTGAATTGATATAGCCTGGCTCATGCAATTGAGCAGATCAACAGGAATCAATTGTCCGTAAGGACATAAACAATCTGGTTCGTTATATAATTTTGGATGTCATCGCATCGATGAAATCAATATTTATACGTGAATGGCACAAGTCGGTTAATCAATCAGAAATCAGGCACTAAGCTGGTGTGACTGTGACTATTGTGCTAGGATTTAAATCAAAGCCAGCACCATGCCAGAGTCATACCGGCTAGGCACCGGATTTCTATTTGATTAACCGACTTGTGTCATTCGGGATAACAAAAGAACGTTAATTTCGAACGTCATAAGTGAACGACCCCAAAAAGAAAAATATAAAAAAATTCATGTCAAAATTATTCTCTCAACAAAGTTAAAAAAACAATCTACAAAGCAGAAATAATTTAAGTGAAATTTCACATAGCAAAAATAAAAGAGTTCTGAATATGACATTAATATGCCACAATAATTTGACTGAAATTATACAGAGAAATGAAATCTGTCTAATAATAATTCACATTCAATTTTAAAAAAAATAAATTTTCATCTTATTTGACATAAAAAAATATATTTTTCTTTCACAATCTCTTTTCGTACTTTTTTTCCCATTCTCATCTTGCATCGCTTTATTTTCATTACATTTTTCCCCTTCACTTCACTCCGCATTTGCACAAAAATAAAAATATTTCTTTCTTTAGTTTTTGGTTTTTGCGGTAATAAATTTATTGAGTCTTCTCTTTCAGTTCTGCTTTGTTTGTTTTTATTTTCTGCTCTATCTCTTCTCTGTCTTCATCTTCTCATATTTATTTATTTTTTTATAGAGTAATATATACAAGTACTTAAAGCAACTACTATACATAAAATAAAAATTCAACATGATATTTATGCTCGACTCGTGAAGTGCATGGCTGTTACGTAATTATCATAATTGGCTTGTGAAAATCGTAATTTTACTTACTATAGCAATATTGTCTATAATTGAAAATCTTGTTAGATAAGATTAACATAAAACATAACAAGTCGGATAGAATTTTCGATTTGGATGAGCTTTTGTTGAAGCGCTTGTAATCGAGGATTAGAAAAAATGAAGATTATTAGTGAAATCTCATCAGTAGGCTTGTTATAAGGCATTGATCTTTTGTGCTAAAGGTTCTCTATTTAATTCTTAGTAATGAATAGTTTGTTTGTTGAAGTAGCTCGGTGGTGGAATGGTTAAGTACTTCCGTACCTAATTACTGCAATTACGACACAGCTGACCATGGGTTCGAGACTGGATATGGAAGCTTTCCTTTGTAGGCTAACGGCAGAAATTATTATTAAACATTCCCTCCCCGAGCCACTTCAGCTCACTCGAATCATATCTGCTTAAAATGAAGTTTATAACCTTCCTTTGGTTACAGGCAAAAATATCATCAAAGGAGTGATTCAAATCCCACTGTCAACAGTAGCTCTAAGTTTGAGCGATAGATCTGGCGAACACTCTCGCATTAAACGATAATTAACCTTTAAACGCTTATGACGTGCAGACATGGATCTTAATGAATAGTTTGCAGATCGTTGTTCTTTGACTTAACTAGACACAACACTCAGTTCATGTTCTGGATGTAGGGTTGTGTCCATTGTCACAGAAATGGTCACTTAAGCTTGTTTTAAATAAATATATAAGCTTTTAAATGACTTGGAATTGATAATAGACTACTATTGGCTCAGATGAATGATGCCTTTGATAGCCTCTCCTTGTGTTTATCCCTGCTTTATCCCTCATTTCATTAGCAACCAATGGAGCACCTTTAAACAGCTTCAACATTGCCCTTGCTTTTTTAACGATTGCGCTACCTCAATTATAATTTCCATTACAATTGTTATGGACAAATTGCATCAAAATTTATCCAACATTCTGAAAATAAAAGTCTTTAAAAATAATAAATTAAAGAATGTAAAACAGGGAAAATTTTATTCATATTTGTTATTATTTTGATTGTTATTTCTTCCATAAATTATATAAAATATCTCAGAATATTAATCATGTGGATTTTTATTAATCATATAACATTCAAATTGATTATTTATAGATGTAAAATTTAATACTTATGTTCCCAATTTGAAAAACATTTTTAAGAATCATGAAAAATTGTCAATAAAAGATGGCAAAAGGGGAAAAATTTTATTTTTCACTCGCTTCCTTCCTGATCCGACAGCTGATCCCAATAACATTCCACTCACGTTCTCTCCATTTTTTTTGCGAAGTAACATTTTCAAATGAAAATCATGTCAAGAATAAATAGTTCACCTGTTTCTGATATTTGCGTAGTATGTCCTCGTCATATGTCATCGCAATAAAACTTTCTTCGTAATAGGATAAAGGATATATGGGAATGGAATTGACAAATGAGATTATTTATTTGTGTGCATGTGTGTATTTAACGGATGAGTTCTTATGAGTTTTTTGGTACCTGTGGATATAAATTGTTATTGATACTGACACACATGCTCACCCTGCTTTCATATAAAAATAGGTTAGAAGGTCTTAAATCTGCATTAAAAGAATAGTTGGAAAAACAATTATCACCAAAATTCTCATAAAAAGTTTCATGTTAAATGTCCCTAATATAGGCAACCTCAATCCTTGATGACAACAGACTAAACTTAATAAATGACAATAATTCTTCTGATTTAAAGTATGTTTAAATCTATTCCATGAAAAGGTCATGATTTCGTCATGAAGTCGATCTCTCTAGAAGGAAAAATAATGAAGCAACAATGTATTGAAAATATGACTGAATTTGAGCCAATAATAAAGTCAAAATGGCAGCAGATCAACAAATCAATCAAAAATTTCCCAGAAACCAAACATCAATGAATAACAAGCAGCAGCAAATTGGATGCACATCCACTACCAAGAATCACAACAACAACAAATTTTTCTACAGAAAACCAACTGAACATAACATTATACCTGAAATGATTGCATTATTGCAACAATGAATGGCAACAGTAGTTGAATGAACAATCCGAGTGATGCACCAATGCCCAAAGATAATGATTTCTTCAGTCCCATATTGATGCAGACGAAAATTCCAATTATGTTGACGACAATTGCAGTCGCAAATGGTATTCGTACTAAATTTGAGAATTCTGCATTGTAGCTTTTGATTTGGTCGTGAAATTTTACAATTTCGATAAATTTTTTATTGAAATTGTCTTCGTCAACCAATTTCCTTTGTTCGCTGTCATTGACATCCATGTCATTCTGTAAATTGTGCATTTTTAATTTGAGCACTTGAACCATCGTTAAGCTATGATATCCATGTATTAAAATTGTTGCATCGTAAGTGGCAAACGTGAGGAATCCAACAGCACCGAGTGCTAATTGAAGTGAAAGATTTAACAGATATCCAACAAGCTCTTTTGCATTTAAATATGGTAGATGGATTGGTACTAGGATAACGAACGCTCCAGTAAATAAGAAAACCATTAACAACACAATGCCTGAATTGAAAATAACGCAATCAAATATAATTATTCCATATGCTAGCTTTTTAGCTCTCTTTATGGCTTGTTCAAGAATTACACGAACGTCATTATCGTTTTCGTGGATTTTGTAAAAGTTGTAGATGGATGCTTGAAGTGATGATGTTGTTTGTGGATTAATTATGAGATTTATTGTTCTCATGAGGCCCTGAAAGATTTATGAGAATTTGTTGAATATTTTTTGTAGATTTTTTTCGATTAAATCTGATGCAGAGAAATGCAGAGTTGGTATTTTTGGGGTTACTTGATACAAGCTAGTTCTTATTCTTGATTTTCTAGGATTAAGGAGAGTAGATATGTTTGGTTTAATGGAGTAAGGAAAATTTGAGGGTCTAATAAGGTCTTTTAAGGTTGTGTGCCTTTGAATATCCGAGAATAAAGCATAAAGATCTTTTATCCTAGTAAATGGAACCACGAGTAGCTCTAGAAACTAGCTCTTTAACTTTTTAATGGCCCAGCAAGCTGTGTCTAATGAATGAAGGTTAAACGTATTCAAATCTAGAATTTCAGTTCGAAATAAGATTCAAACCAAATCTTAGAAGACATTTTAACCTATGAGCTGCATATCAGTTTGGTTTTGAATCACAAAGACTTAATAAATCCAAGTTTCTTCAATAATCGGTTTCCAGAGTTAGCCAAGGTACCCAAGTCAGAAGCATAGCAAGAAAGGTAAGAAAAATTTTGAGCCATGATCTCGTTTGGGTTTAAAACTTTTAAGGGGCAGGATCCAGAGCCTCCTAGCTAAGCCTCTGAAATGGCTATAGATAGGGTCCGATGCCCTAGGTATCTCTATACCCTCCAGCTACTTCAATAAACTCACAAAAATCACCCAATACTCAATTTTTTTAATAATCCAAATCCCAACTCTGCAAATTACCACAAGCATAATCACATCTATCCTCTTACTTGAGAAAAGAATGAAATATGAACGTAAGCGAGAGTAAAAATCCTCAGACTCGGTAAATCTTTAATTATCGTATACAACACGAGAGCTTGCCAAAGCAACGAAACCACACCAGACACAAATGAACGCTTATTTGGCTTCGGATGAGGATCAAAAATATCAATTCCAATGAATAATGAGAACCATCTAATTTTGTCTTGCAGTTCTGTAAAGCATTATGTTCATTAAAAACTAATTTGCAGACCAAAATATAAATATTCACTTTTTAATTCATTGGACGGCGTTATCGATGGCTTCGACATGTTTCAACCACAAAACTTATTCCGTGCGACTAACAAATAACTCCAATTTTTTTTTTTAAATGAGCGGTGAAATTAAAGGAAAATTTTTTTGTATAATTAAAGAAACCGAAATTTTTTAATGGGTTAAATTTGTAAGCGCACTCGCAGATAAAAGCAACAGACGTTGATATTCACATCGAACGACAAAATTATTTAATTGCTGTGGCTTTTTGAAAAATTTATAAGCAATTTTTTTGGTGGAAGATTGAACTTCTTGAAGCAGGCGCAAAGCCAGGAGGGTCTTGTCCCCCATTAAATGTTTTGAACCGGAGCGAGAGCACGGCTTAAAATGCTTAAGAGGGAGACAACACTTTCTGGCTACGCGCCTGTTTTAAAGTTTATATTAAAAATGTTTATGGATGGACATTGATGACGTGGACTTGTATGAAGGCTTAACGATTAGATTATTGATTAAATGTTATCAAAAAAATCTAAAAATTCAAAAATTTCCCATCCGATCCCCAGTAGAATTCACAAAACAATCACATTGTATGCTGTCATCTGTGACAATTTTCTCAAAAGAGCATGAAATGATCAGCATAAAGTGAAACGAATTTATATTTTATTTATACCAATCTATCTCATTTTCACACTTAATTGATAATGCAATTGAAATGAGTAAATATGAAGTGAATCTAATGAAAATTGATATAAATGTCAACTGCAATGATTTTGATAGATGCCCGTATGGGACATTAAAAATATCATTTTTATTAATGTACTTTAAAGTAAAACTAAATTGATTGCTTCCCCGATGCTACACAATGACTGCAATTGTCAGTTTTATATTGGATATACGCATGTAGTCGCACTACATAACTTCCATTGTAACATTATAGCCCGAGAATATGTACAATAATAGAACAATCACTGCATTGTGATTCATTTAATTTAATCACTTTTATGTTTGAATGTGAACAATTTTTTTCAGTCGGCAATTTTTTTTTGTGCTGTATAAAATTTCTCTCTCTCTCTCTGTCTCTCCATCTCCGTACATTTCACTAACAGGCAATAGTGAAGCACACACAAAAAAAAAGTTTAATTCATTTTAAAAAATAAATGTAATGTTGCATGTAGATATTGTAAAATGGGGAATACACACGAGATACATAAAATACATTACATGATTGTCCAACCAGCAACAAAAAAAAAAAAAACAAGAACATCAGTTCTCTTCTTATTCAGTTCTGTTGTAACATTTTTTTTATATACCATGAAAAGAACCGACCGAATCGGACATTTAATTTTGTAAGCTGCTGCTACTTACGACTTCGTCTCTTACTTTTTTTTTATTAAAGGAAAATAATTCTGCTTTGTTGAGTGCATGACATGGACTGTTGCGAAAAAATTGCTGAAAATGATGTTGCAATAATACTGCTTGTGATATCTTTTGACCAGACTGCACATTTTTTCCAGCTTTGTGAGTTTTTTGAATGGGATTTTTTTTGTGGTGTGGTAGAAAATAGGAAGCATTAAAGTTTGTAAGTTTTGGTTGGTTATCTAATTTTGTTGTATGATTGCAATGGCTGGTGTTTTATACTGTTTTATTGGTGATTTTGTAATGGTTTTGGAGATTTCGAATGCTAATGAGGCGTCAACAAGAATTCCTTAATTGGATGTGTTGAAAAGGATGCTAGAGTCCTTATTATTCTGAACTAGCACTAGGTTTTTAAGGATAGGGCAGTCTTTAGACGACCTTTAAACCGTCAATGGGTCCACGGGAACGCACGTAAGTGTAGGAAGTAATTAAGTAAGTAACATGAAAGATCTTCAAAGCTTCAAGACTTATCGTGTCTCATTTCAATGTGTAATGCCACATTTTTTTTTGTGTCATAGTAGATTGAACGCCAAGAAACTGCCCTATTTCAACAGGTTAATGCCTGGGAACAATCCCGGATCCTTAGAGTCATTTACCCCCATTTACCCAACACCTAAATCAGTTCATCATTGCTTCTATTTCTTTGCTATGTTTATGAAAGTAGTTCAGCCATTTTTATTCCGTCAGACAATCGTCAAAGTGACTTAATGTTTCTACAGAGTTGTCTTTTTACCTCAATAGCGCAGTAGTGTCTTTCTTGATCCTGAATCTTGAGAGTGTCTTAATTTCAGCCAATGATCGGTTTCTATGGCTCTGTGAGATATTCTATTGTAAAATTGATAATCGATTGTCTAGAACAGTGTAGTCCAAACTTATTCCAACCTTAGGGTTAAGCCATTACCAAAGTCACACACAGCATGAGGCTCGCGTCATTTACAAAAAATTTCAACGGCACACCAGTGTGCCGCGGCACACAGTTTGAACAATACTGGTCTAGAATCTAATTTAAGAATTGTTACTAATTTTAGTTGCTTCAAATAGCTCTCGAACCCAAACTCAGGGCCTTCATATGTAAAACAACCTCAAAATAAACAATCAGAGCTAAGTTATTTTCAAAAAATTGACAATCAACCTTACAAATTGTCCGAAACCCAACAAATAACAAAATTCCAAAAATTCTCTTAATTCTCTCCTCACTGCTGGATTGCAAAATTATCTTTAAAAATTCCTAGACCATCAATTTGCACAAAATATAAACCATTCAAAAGAATCTTATTTGCCATAAAAAATTGTTTCTCAATTCTTCAATAAATCTAGCTCAACATGAAGCACAAAGAATAATAACTTTTGCACATTGCAGCTCATTCCTTAAAACTCTCTATTGTTTTCATAGAACAACAAAATAAGCAAGCACTGTTCTAGTCAGCAAGAAAGAAGATACCGAAACAAAGAGATGAAAAAAGTAAACAGAATTATAACAATAATTCACCATGAAACTCTCTCTATTTGTTGCAAAAAAAAATAAATATCCAGAAAAAATAAGTTTGAAAGCCGTCGACTGTGAAGAATGAACAAAATGAGAAAGAAATTTGTTTTATGTGCAAAAAATATTTCTCTTAACATCTGTTTTTATTGTCAAATTTTTTTTACGTCTTTTTAAATTTAATTTTTATGTTTTCTTAATGCTGATTATTATTTTTCGGGTGTATGCTTGAACAGGGTTGTAGCAGCGAAAAAGCAGCAGGGCGAGGAACTGATGAAATGATCAAAAAATGATCAAAATGCAATTAATCAGTTCAGCATCCTTGGGTGGAGTGGTGAGAGTGTTGACCAGCCAACCCTAATGAACCTGGTTCGATTCTAGCGAAAGAGTGTTCAAATTTGGAAGCTTTTTCGCTGTTTTGGTCATGGCAACTCAGTTTGTGCAAATTGTGGCTAGGTGATTGCCTTGATAAACTTTAAGAAGGAGGATTAAAAACCCGAAGTCTGACTCCGAAGCTGACCAAATGTCAAGTGTATACCTTCTCATGGTATCTCCTAAAACAGCTAAATACACAGCTGATGACCGAGTCCTGTGCCGGGATATGGACTTGAAAGGATAGATTAAAAACCTATCCAAACAACCTTACATGGAGGGTTGCAGAACCACAATCAGGCTGCAATGGAAGGAAACCTCCCATTTCAGAAATCAACTTGTATAAAGAAAGCAACACAAGGTTAACAGGACTGGAATTTAGGAAGTTTAAGCTGTTGACAGCTGAAACGATGTCCAAGGACAGTGGTGGACAACCTTTTTTGTGCAACGGCTCACGTTGTTGGTGATTCATAATCAAAATCGCCCACAGCATACGGTGCGTGGGATTTCTCGAATTAACTCACGGTACACTAGTGTTCCGTGGAACATGGGTTGTCCATCACTGTCCTAGGGTAATGTTAAAGAGCGTAGAGTTAAGAAATCAAAATGTGAACAATTTCGATGAGCTTTAGTCACACTTTGAAGAGTTTCAAAGTTTATTTTGAAATGAGAATCGAACATAAGCTCGGTCCATGTAAACTCTAATTTGTTCGAAGTTTCAAACAATCATTTTCATCTGTAAAGGACATTTTAGAATCTCCCAACTTTTTGTATAGCTGCTATAAATCTTATTGAAATAATAATTTTACTGATTTTTCAAATTACATTCTCAATTTTTACCACGAAATCTTCCAAAAAAAGTATCCAATTTCATCAACCCTGTCCTTAACCAGCATTACCAAAATATATAATTTATATCGCATTATTATTATTTCTTATATTACTTCCTTTCACCCAAAAAAAAAAAAATAATACTAAAGTTTACAACAAAAAGAAATATTCTATGGGTGTTAATAAATAAGAATTAATCGGTTAGAGTATCATTGTCTGCAAAAAAAGTAGCAACAGCAGCAGGAGTAACGGTAGCAAACATAAAAGATATCAAATTTTAACTTCAATACGGAAAAAAACATTTCATTTAAACTATTTGCTAAAAAAAATCTACACAAAAAAAAATAGCAGCACATGAGTATAAATTATAGCACCCAAGTGATAAATTTCTACTGTATATTTTTGTCTACATAGTAGTCTCTAGCTAACCATTCAATGCTCATAAATAAATAAGATGTGAAAGTTATTGTCTTACTTCTCCCTGCCTTGGCAGTTTTTTTTTTTCGCCAATTATTTATTGCCATTGATATTAAAACAAATAAATTTTATGCTGTTTGTATTATATTTCAAATTAAAAACGAGGCGTAGCAACGAATATACGTAATTCCTTTTTGACGGTGCGATAAGAAACTTTTTTTTTTCGTATTTTTATTGGAATCTCCTCAATTTACTTAGTCACTCATAATTCACGTCAAAAAAAAAGTTATCAGTTAATGGCTTTACGGTGACTTCTTATCATGTTAAGTCTCGTAGAATAAAAAAAATATGAAAACAAATTAAGTCCAAAACGCTCATTTGAGTCATAAACATTTTATTGAAAGTTTAATCAACTCGAGTGCTGCTGGTATTATCGTAATAAATGGATGTCGATTAACCAATTTTCTGTAGTTTTTACTGTTTTGTGTCTGAGAATTGAATTTAATAATGATGATGATGATAGTGAGCAGTGGGACTGAAGTATATTAAATATGATGTCTCATTTCGCTTGTTATTTAAATGATATTAAATTGATATAAATGGATATTAGTAGTTTAA